AAACCATGGCTTGTAATTATTGTACATGATCAGGCTCTCAGGAAAATCTGATGATGGATCAGGCGAGGAAAGGGTTTTCTAGACTGAATTAACATTTAAAGCGGAACTCCAGCCGTATCTTCAATCTCGAACAGTTGTATCAATAATACTTATTATGATTTCACTGCATACTGTGAGCTCCTCACAGTGTGCATTAGAAGCTGCAACTTAAAGCAGAATTCCAGCTGAAAATAAAAAACGTCAGCAGCTACAAAAACTGTAGCTGCTGACTTTTGAAATACAGCCACTTACCTGTCCCTCGTGTCCTCGCCACCGCTGGTTTCACCGGCCGTCTTCTCTCCCTGGCACCAGTATCTTCAGTGTGGGCACCTGGCTGTGGCAGCTTGCGGCTTTACGGCTGGGTGCCCACTGCGCATGCATGAGAAGCGCTGCAGTTTGTGAATGGTCCTGTAGTCTTCTGGGACCTGTCATGTGTCCCAGAAGACTACGGGGACAGAGAGGAGGGAGGACAAATTCCGCTTCCGTTCGCCTAGGCCAGGGGTAGGCAACCTGCAGCTCTCCAGCTGTTGCAGGACTACAAGTTCCATTCATGCCTCTGCATGTCATAGCTGTAACTGTCAGTTTTGTAATGTTGCAATGCCTCATGGGAAATGTAGTTCCACAACGGCTAGAGAGCCGCAGGTTGCCTAGGCAATTGCAGCGGAAGAGGGAACGGGTACCTGTCAAATTCAGGTACCCGCTCCCCAAAGGTGCCAATCCTTAATGGGGAGCGGGGGACAAAGCATTAAAGTGGAACTTCGCCTTTTGGGTGGAACTCCGCTTTAAGTCCGCTCATTTCATTGCTCAGGGATACTCAGCGTTGTCTAGCCCTTTCTTTTTTAGCCTTACTGTCCCCAGGCCCACTCTTTTCATTCATTGGGCTTTTGTTCTTTCAATCATGGAGGTTCAGCATTACATGTGGGTGTTATCTAAGGCAGTCTGCATGTAAATGCAGGTTGCCTAGGAATGCCCATTAGGCTTCCAGATTCCGATAAGCTGACATCCACCCATTAGGGCAGTTAGATATTTGCATAACCCAGTGTTTGCATGAGGGCTGATGGCTCTTGAGAAGAATGCTGTGGCAGAACGTTTATGTACAGCACTCTGTCAACCCCTCTCCCATGAGCCATGATCTGCATGCAATGTATAGAGAAGCACACAGACCCAGTGATGATATCACTAGGTCTAAAATAAAGTATGTAATGAAAACAGTTTTATTTTAAAATGATGATAGGGAGCAGGAAAATATATGAGCAGTTTAAACTTTAATTCATTCTTTATACTGCTCTCTGTAGTCCCATGGAGAACCTACTCCTAGATTGTAAGCTCCGAGGATCAGGGCCCCTCCTAACCCTCTTGTATTGAACTGTATTGTTGCTGTATTGTCTTCCGTTATATTGTAAAGTGCTGAGCAAACTGTTGGCGCTGTATAAAATCCTGTATAATAATCGTAATACTCCCTCTCACCCCTGCTAAGCAAGGCATAATCTCTTTACTGTTGTACTAGTGGTTTAGTTACCGTATATTAGTACTTTTACAAACCACCGTATGTTAATGATCACGCTCTCAGAACAGGACTGACCTGCAGATGGTGGTGGTAAAATGGTTAAGTTGCAGAGAGGATTAACCCTCTGTGTTTAGGTCATTTTTAATTTAGTGTAGAAACTCTATATGTACATCACAGTGCCTTGAAAAAGTTAGACTGGAAACCAGCAAATGTTCAAATATAACTTCTGTAAATTCTTTTTCAGATCACCATAGCAGAATCATAGCGGTAATAAACCCAAAAACCAAACATGTAATATATTGCAGCTTACCAATTAGTAGATGTGGTGGCTGCATTGGTTTTCCTTTTTATATTAGCTTATTTTCCTTATGTTTGCAGCTGGTGATCTAGCCAGTAAGGGTCCATGTACACTGCAGCTGATAAACTGACGTTCAGGAGCTTTTCTGCGGTTTTTTTTTTCAGCAGCTTCTGAACTCTCCCTAATGTTTTCCTATGTGTCCATGTACACATAGTCATTTACAAGCAGTTGAGTTTACAGTTGTTTTTTTTGAACGCAGCAAAAAATTGCTTTCAGGAGTAGATTTTACCGGTGTTTCAAATGCCAAACACTTGTAAATGCATGTAAACGTGGTTAAACCGCGTTTATTATTATTTCAGGTACTTATATAGCGCCGTCAATTTACGCAGTGCTTTACATATATATTGTACATTCACATCAGTCCCTAACCCTCAAGGGGTGTACAATCTCTAAGGTCCCTAACTTACATTCATACATACACATATTAGGGCCAATTTAGACAGGATCCAATTAACCTACCAGCATGTCTTTGGAGCGTGGGAGGAAACCGGAGTACCCGGAGGAAACCCACGCAGGCACATGGAGAACATGCAAACTCCAGGCAGGTGGTGCCGTGGCTGGGATTCGAACCAACGACCCTAGTACTTTCAGGCGGAAGTGCTAACCATTAAGCCACTGTGCTGCCCTATAACTTTATAACTGTTTGCGTTTAGAAGCGTTTTTTTTTTGGCTGGTCCACGATTCACTAAGCGGTATCCTACCACATCCAAGTATGTAGTAGGATGCCGCATAGCAGTTTTTAAAAAAAACAACATTTGAATCCACTAAAAAGGCTACTAAAATACTGCATGAGTTATTTTATCAAGTCATGCGGAATTTTAGTTGTGAAAAGCATGCATCATGTTTCAGCTGTCTGAGCGGGGTTCCCACTGACAGCTGAATGTAAGAATTGCCAGCAATTAAAAAATAATTTAAAACGGGCCCCACCCTCCCATCCACACCAAGCCCCTCGGGTCTGGATTTGAAAAAAAAAAAAAAAAAGGAGGCGTGGGGTTCCCCACAAAATCCATACCAGACCCTAATCTGAGCATGCAGGTCAGGAAAAGGGAGGGGGGATGAGCGAGCGCCCCCCCCTCCTGAACTTTACCAAGCCATATGCCCTCAACATGGGGGGGTGCTTTTTACATAATTAAGAACTGTCAAACCAGCTCAGAGGCAGACGGCCGGAGGCCAGCGTCGGAATCGGAGCCTTTTTTTTCTTTTTCGGAGTGGTGGCGGCGAGCAAGTTTGTGATTGACATTGGATCTACTTCGGGAGACATTCTTTTATTAAAGGACTTGTCAAAGAATGACTCCTGTCTTTTTTCAAACTACAGCTTTTTTTTTGAATGGGTAGCGGTACCATGTACCCATACTCATTCACGTGGGGGGGGGGGCGGGATCTGGGGGTTGCTAAAGAAGGCTTCCAGATTCCGATATGAGCCCCCCGATCGCAGACCCCCACAACTACAGCTCTTGTGGGGAAGAGGCCCTTGTCCCCATCATGGGGACAAGGTGCTTTGGAGGGGGTGGGGTTGCATCCTCCTCCATTCAGAAAACTTCTTTCATTGATTATATTGCCTGTAACATGATCTTTTCTCCGCTGAAAATTCCCCGGTTCGCGTACCATCTCTCCGTCCGGCACTGGGCGCATTATTATTATTTTTTTTTTTCGGCGAACCAGGGGATTTTTGGCGGAGAAAAGATCATGTTACAGGCAGTATAATCAATGAAAGAAGTTTTCTGAATGGAGGAGGATGCAGGGGGCATGTCCCACTGGATCATATCCTGCTATTCTGCCTGAAGACCTGAAGCTGCTAACCTTTACAGTTCAGAAGTTCAGAGACAGGAAGGGGATAGGAAGGCATTGCTGCAGTGAAGATCTCATCAGGATTCAGATCCCTGCACAACACAGGCCATCCTTTATTACAGGTGGAGCATATCCGTTTTTGGTAACCTTTATCCTTGGTGGAGAGATAGTGGCGGAGCTGTCCCTGTGTGCTGTGAGGGTCCAGTGAGTGAGGTCTGGAGTTATTCCCTGTATGCTGTCAGTGTGCCAGCGGAATTCCTTTCCTTTCCTGAGCCCAGATGTTCGCTGGGGATAAATTTGATATGAATATATGCGCAATATTATTGCCTTTCTGGTGAGTGCAATCACACTACAAACCCTTATCGTGGAGTCATGTGCACAGAGATTTTATGGAACACTTTGGACTTTATTTTTATTCATCTTTATATGTATTCATATTTATTCATCAATATTTACAAGTGTATCACTGCAATTATTTGTTTGAAATTATTCACCACTGTCACTATTGGAAAATTCCAGTCACTAATTATCTCGTCAACTTTTGACAATACACTATATGTGTTGTGGTCACTTTAGTGCTCAATAATTTTGCGCTTCACCTTATATGCATTTGTCACTTTTAAAAATTAAGCGCTGCATTATTTATTTATTTTAGGCTTAGGTAAGTATTTAGGGGGGCTGTGGGGGAACTACTAATATAAGGTTTTTTTTTTTTACCTTAATGCAGAGAATGCATTAAGGTAAAAAAAACATTTACCTTTACAACCACTTTAAGAAGCTTGTGTCCTTTACTCTACTCCAGTATACCAATTTTACTTGTAAGTCAAAACTCATATTTTCCTGGTTGCATAGTACTGTACATGACAGGACATGGACTCCTTTAATTCATTATGACTGGGATGTTCAAAAGCAGTCTAATGTCCAATAAGGGGTGGGCAACACAGTAAACAGCACCTCCTGGCCCAACGTAACAAACAGGTTAAGGCCCCATGTACACGGGACACTTCTGAATGATGGAAACTGACTACTGGAAAACGTAGATTAAAAAAGTCTGTTTAGCCGCGTTTGCTTACTGCGTTTATGTGCGTTTCGATGCATTTTTTTTAACATATAATCTCAGAAGATTTTCCAAAATGCCAAGAAAGCACTGAAAAACAGTAAAAAAATTAACTATTTCAGACATTTTGAGAGAAATAGAGAGAGCGGAAGCAGAGAGAACAGTATTTGTTGAGATTCGCTGTGTTTTTTTTTCTTGTTGTGTTTTTGAATGTGTTCCAGCTCATTTCTGTGCAGAAATTATTGCAGCAGTGTCTAACATTTTCTTTCATGCAAAACCTCAAAGTATGGTGTACCAGGTCCATTTGAGTACCGGGAAAAACACTTTGCATGCATTTTTCATGATGAAAAAAGGCTCTGGACATCATCTGGAAATGGAAGAGTTAAAAAAAAATTTTCAACTGCAAACGCCTATTAACGCGGTTAGCCGCGTTTAGCTGCGTGTACACATGTTTACAAGCATTTTGCGTTTGAAACACTGATAAAATCTACTGCTGAACGCACGTTTTCTGCGTTCAAAAAAACAACTGTAAACGCAACTGCCTGTAAATGACTGTAAACAATGATGTGTACTTGGAAAACATAGGAAAAACATTAGGGTGAGTTCAGGGGCTGCTGAAAAAAAAAGCTGAACAGCTCCTGAAGTGAGTTTATCAGCTGCCCTAAGAAGGGCTTGACAGGTTCAGAGAGCAGCTTGTAACTCCTTATGTCCTAAAACTGGAATCAGACAAGGCTTGAACATTTACCTGATAGAACAGAAGCTCAGGTGACAGCCTTGAAAAATCTGAGATAAAAACACCAAATGCTGGAAAGCCCAAGAAGCACTAACAGATATGGCAGAGTGTGCCTTAACAGGAAAAGGAGAAACCGTATCCTTCAAGCTATAGGTTTTGACGATAACGTGTCTGTGATCCATCTGGCAATGCTAGAGCGAGAGGCAGGGAGACATTTATGAGAACCCTCAGGAAGCACAAATAGGGATTTCAATCTCCGAAAGGAATAGTATCAGAGAGGTAATGCAGGCAGTGCAGGGAAATGTCCTTAAAGTAGAACTATAGGCAAAACATTTTTTTTGCTTTAGTTTTTTATTTTGGATAGAGCAAGGGAGGGTTATAACCTGTCAGATTTTTTTTTCCCCCATCTGTGTTTTATTATGGAGATTTCCATTCACTTTCTCTCCCACAGCCAAACAGGAAGTGGGAGGAAATCCCTGCAAATTAAGGGAATTTCTTGGGGACCCCCCAGGTCAACAGTACTAGAATTCCAATTGGAATTTAAATTTTCCCTTCTATTACTTTTTAGGAGACAACCCAAAATTTTGGATTTTCTTTTACTTTCACTTTAAATGATAATGGTAAACAGGACAAATAGAGAGGATAAATCTCCCTCATGGGGGAACATACAGCAATAAAACGTGTTCTAATCCCTCTCCATTCTATCCAAAACTGAAAAAAAAGCCAGTGATCTGGATGGAACACTAGCCCTTGGGACAGGAGGTCAGGACAATCTGGAAAGGCCCATGAAAACGTCTGCCAGCAGCAGTGGTTATGTCAGAGTACCACAACCTCCTAAGCCATTCAGTGCAATGAAGATCACTGTAATGCCCTCCTTCTCCATCCTTTGGAGCAGGTGAGAGAAAATTTGGAGGGATGTAAAGGTGCAGACCAGGTTGAACTGATCCCATGGTGTCATCAGAGCCTCTACTTTGAAAGTTTGGGGGTCCCTGGACCCGGTGACGAACCTTTCCAGTTTGTTATTGAATCCGGATGCCAGGAGGTCCACATCTAGTGTTCAACACTTGTGGCAAAGGGCTTGAAAGGCTTCCAGTTGGAGAGCTCATTCCCTCAGATCCAGATGCTGACAGCTGAGAAAGTCCACCTGCCATTTTTCCACATCTGGGATGTGGACAACTGACAGGGCCAGAACATGAATTTCTGTCAAAGGGAGGATGAAATCTGCTTCCCTTGTAATAGCATGACTTCTGGGGCCTCTATTATGATTGATATATACCATGGCCATGGCATGGTCTAAATGTTTTTTATATATTTATCCATATTATTGTATATACAATGTTGATTGGAAGGTGAGCCATCTCCAACTACCAACTCCCCTGCACTGAGTAGGTGTCCAGAACTGCTTCCCCAACCCAACAGACTAGCATTTGTATTGAGAACTAATCGCAAGTACTGAGGTTTCCTTAAATTCAGCTCCGGATTGGAATTCTACCACGTCAGGAAGGGTCTGACCTTGGGATTCAGATCCATCCAAGGACTAAGTCAAGTTGTCTGAATGTTGATTTGCAAAGGTCTGGAGTGAAACTAGGCATATGTCACTGCCTCAAAGGGAGCTTCCATTAGAGCCATGATTCCTATACATGCTAGAATTGACGGCTTCCACTGACCCGGAGGGCCCTGGCATGAGAACAAAGAGTTTTTCTTGAGGCAGAAAAGTTCTGGACAAATTTTTGTCCAGTGTCAGAACCAGGTTTTTCAATCTGTGAGATGGGTCCAGTGATAACTTCTGTAGACTGAGGATCAAACCAAAGTGCTGCAGAACCTGTGCCATTCATTGGCTATTGGCTGACAGACTGCACTGATCTTTAAAAAGGAGATCGTCCAGGTACCCCACATCGTGGATCCCCTGACAATGAAGCAAAGCCAAAATCAGGGCAAGCAGCTTGGATTAGACCCAAGGGGCCATGGAAAGGCCAAAGGAAAGGGCCACAAACTGGTAATGCTGATCACCCACAATAAAATGCAGAAAGCGTTTAGGTGGAAAGTAGGAATGTGCAGGTAGGCATCCCTGATGTCTGCTGAAGCAACAGTATTTTCAGAGGCATTTCAGAGGAAATTCAAAGGAAATAGGGAGGCTGTAACTGATCTAGCAATTTCCATGTAAAACATCTGAATCCATAGAAACAAGTTTAAAGGTTTCAGATTCAGAAATGGCTATACATTCAATTTTGGAACCATAAAGTGGTTTGATTTGAACCGTTGAAAGTGTTCCCCTGGTGGTATGAGGGTAATGACCTCTTGGCTCAAAAGTTGTTGGACATCCGAAAGCAGATCCACCTGCCATGATGCCAAAGAAGACAAGTTGGAGAGCATGAAACGGAGAAGAGATAGAGAGAGAAACTCCCGTTTGTATCCCCTGGAAACAACAATCCTGAGTATTTGAGATGTTTTGGGACCAGAAGGCCGAGAGACTTCCCCCCACTTTGAGAAGTGGAGCTGGCCCAATATTCTTTGGTTGTAGTTTTCAGGAGATTTTTGTAGCAGGTGTACTGTGTCTTTCTCATCAGATGTCTCAGAGGTCAAGAATTCTACCTCAGCGGACATCTTTTTTTACCGTGTCTGGTTCATGGGCAAAGTCAAAGTCTAAAGTCAGTGGAATGGTAGAAGGGGCACGGCCATGGCCCTTGTAGTCAAAGGTCTCAACAAGGCCAGAAATTCTACCCATCAACCCTAACATTGTGGCAGAAAATTACTCTCTAAATAGGACTGATGATGGTTCTGGACTTGTAAGGCACTAACACTAACTCCACATTGCACTACATACTACGGGGAGCACCCACAGAGAGTTCCAGGGCAAAAGCAATATTACAGGCTGGCCTCATATCTTCCAACAAGCAAGATCTGGGTACAGCTCCCCAAGATTCTGCCAAAGAGTTCACTGATATGGAAGCTGCTTAAAATGACACATAGGCTATGGTGTAGCCAAGTAGCGAAAGAGTTATCTTGAAGGAAATTATCTTGGAAGAAAGGCCAAAAAAAAACCTCCATGTAGGAAGGTGAGCTTCTTTCAGCAGAGGGATATGCTTCAATGCTTAAGAACACTAGGATAAACCTTAGGCTAGCTGGGAATAAGAGATGATATATAGAGGGATATCCCTGCAGCTTTTCCTTTTCCAGTGTCCGGTCATCTGAATGTAGCTGCATATGACCCAGTTGTAATGATGTAAAGAATTCTGTGTCCTGTACTTTACAATCGGGAAAGCATTGTTTTCTAAATAAGTAAATAGGAAGGGGCACATTAAAAACCCTAAGAATTAATAATTGTCTACTACTGTCACTTGAAGTGGTGTGGTTTTTTGCACATTGCTGTCTTTGGCATAATCCATCTTGTTTACTGGCATTATATTTGGTACTTTTGTACCTAGGTTTTTAAATAAACATTTTTAAAACCATTCATGCAGGTTTGCAATAAACACTATCTCTACCAAATAGTAGCATTGTTTTGCATCCAGAATAAATAAAATTATGTAAACATAACTGCTGTGGCCCTGTTCTTTGAGATTATTTTCCAATAAGCTGATGACTGATGTTTACATAAGATTAACCGATTCCCATCCACCCTATAACAGAAAAACTGCTACAGGGCGGCACGGGTGCGCAAAATCATGTGGCTGTCAATCACCGGGTCGGGACAATTACCAGCGCCCGGTGATTTCCGAAGATCTCCGCCGGGGAGGAGGACTGTTTTGTTTACCAACAGTTCTCCTCCCTGTCAGGTCAGGCATACTGCTTTGGATGGCTGTGCATAGCACAGCCATCCAGAGTAGTGCGATTACAGTGAAACACACTGACACCACCCCCTAATAAAACACTCCCTGAACACAGTTAACCCTTTGATCACCCCTCATGTTAATCCCTTCCTGCTTAGTGCCATTAGTACAGTGTCAGTGCTTTTTGTTAGCATTGATCACTGTATTGGTGTCACTGGGGATGTCAGTAGCACATGTGAAGTTCAGGCAAGGATCAGCCAAGAGATTTTCCAGCAAGTTGAAAAATTTGAATGAGTGTTAACTCAGAAGTCTTTTCTCTTTTTAAAGAGATTTAATCAACCACCACTAACAGCCAAAATTAGTACTGTCCATGGACAAAGTAAAGGCCTTGTGATCCTTTAAAAACCTAGTGGGTTACACATTCACTAAAAGGATAGTTATATTCTTATGTGGCATGTCTTAATATAGGTTCCCATTTAGCTGTTTCATGTGTACTACATTTGTATTGGAACAGCAGCAGATTCATTTGAATGGTCTGTTGTAGCTGCAGGAAACACAGGAAAAATGGCTCCTGCACCTTTTCAAAATCGCAGCCGCATTGGAACTGCATTGTGCTTTTGCACCATTCGGTTTCATGGACCTGCAAACATGCTGTGTTTTCAAATGCAGGGGTGCCATTAAGAACTAACGCACACCCTTGCATCTGAAAGAGCAGCAAAATATGTCCTCTGGCAGCTGCAGGTGTGGGAACTCATGTAATTTACATGCATTCCTGCACCACCATTATTGTGAACCTAGGCTCAGTAGTGCTTTTAAATTATGTTCATATACTTTGCTTCTTTGTTCATTTCCACTTGTTTTTGTGGAAATTATTGATGGAGGAATATTGATTACCCCTATTTCTGCCATGAAGGGACCTTCTACCCATCTTTATGTGTATTCCAGTATCTCAGTGCATTTGAAGCACCTTGTGGTCAGTAAGCTGTTGAATAATGTGACTGTGACCTAAGAAGCTGGCAGTCTTTCATAATATGTAGCAGAGCTGTGATCTGCTTTTGGGCTTTTATTATTATTATTAGGGATTCCCCAAAATT